AGTTTTTCAAGCGAGTAGAGGCTAAAAACATTGTGATACTATAACAAAAAGGGCCTGTGGGTTGTTCTTGGAGGGTGGTAGGGGCTGGTGCAGCTGAGGAAAGGGAAGGTGGCAGGGGGCTACTGGCGGGGGGGAGGGGGGGCTGGTGGCGCAAAAGTCCCTGTTCCTCCACAACAGGATTCAATCCTTGGATTCCCTGGGCCCCAGGACTGGGTCCCTAAGGGTTCTGTCTTTGGGCCCAGCAGGAGGACATCTTTGGTGGCGAGTGGGGACATTCAGACCTGAGAACTTCAGGGATGGCTGCCCCTGGGGGGGTCCGGCTGAGCTGGCTTCCCCTCTAGGCTTCTCCCTCAGGGCCAGGCTGAACTGAGTCTCCTGGATTTCTGAAGCTGACAACTGCCCCATTTAGTTCTGACCCTTGAGGGCATGAGAACCAAGGCTCCTGGAGGCTGGTTCTCACCACGCCCCCACTGCAGCTCTGCTCACTCCCGAGTTCCTCTCCTGGGGCTGGCCCCAGCTCTCCCAAAGCCTTTCTGATTCGGTCTATTGGGAAGAGGCAGGAGCGAGGGGAGAGCTGGGGAGTGACGTCAAGGCTGCCCTCACCCTGCTCTGACCTCTTCCTCAAATTAGGAGGTTCGAATAACTCAGCCTCTTCCCCAGAGGATGAAGAAGCTGGGATCAACCAAGACAACAGTTACCACAACCTGGCCTTTCCACCTGGGAAACGTCCCGGGAACCCCACACTTCCCTGCATTCCCACTGCCCTGGACCTGTTCAGGCTGCCGCCACCTCAGTGGCCTCCCAGCTGGTCTCCTGGCCTCTGGCCCCACCCCTTCAACCAAGCCTCCACACTTCCCTAGGAATCTGACCAACATTGCTCTGCTGAAAAGCCATCTATAGCTCCCTATCACCTTCTGGGTAAGCCCTAGGCTCACCAACCTCCAGTCCTTGGCCACTTCTCCAGCCTTACTCCTCACCCTTCTCTCTGTGACCCAACCATATCTCACTGCTGGGGTTCTCTGTGCACTCTTGCCTTCGTCCGTGCTGTTCCCTCTGCATGGAGCACCCTCACATGCCGACCCCTGTGAATCAGGACCTTTCTCAGTTGTTGCCTTCTCCCAGAAGTCCCCGTGCTGTCCTCCTCTGGGCTAGCTGTACCTTTGTGCTCTCAGTGGCTCAGCTACTACCCATGGTGCATTGTTTTTGTTGTTATTTAAACATTTTTATTTGTGTTAAAAAGCACCTACCATAAAATGCATCATCTTAAGGGTTTTAAGCGTACAGTTCAGTAGTGTTGAGTATATTCATGTTGTTGTGCAACATATCTCCAGAGCTTTGTCATCTTGCAAAACTGAAACTCTGTCTCTAGGAAGCCACTCCCCTCTCCCCCCTTTCCCCATTCCCTGGTGCATGGTCTACTTGAGCCCCTTGAGGGCAGGCAGCTGGGTCTTTATATCTCCACCACTTAGCAGTGCACCAGGCCTGTATGTAAATTTGTTAATTCAACAAGTAGTTTGGTGCAAAAGTAAGCTGAGCACCTCCTGTGCACTGTGACGCTGTCCTACACATTAGAAATAACCAAGGAACAACAACAAAAAATCCCCGTCCTCGGGGGTTTTACATTCTAGCTGGCCAGAAGACAGATAATAAAATGTAGAACATGTTAGATGGTGATGAATGCTGTGAGGGAAATAAAGTAGGGAGGAGTGACAGTGCAGGGGTGGCAAGTTTCAATTTCTAATAGAAGAGGAGAGGATGTCTCACTCAGCAGTTGACATTTGATGCCAGCCCTGAAGGCAGGGAGGGAGCCCTATGGCTACTTGCGGGCATAGCATTCCACATAGAGGGAACCTAGTATGCAAAGGTCCTGGGGAGGGAGTGTGCCTGGTGCTTCCTGGCTTGGGGACAGCAGGAAGTCACGTGGTTGCAACAGGTGAGCAAAGAGAGGCGTTTAGCAAGGCAACAGGCAAGATGCAGGTGGGGCAGATCTTGCGGGCTCTTGAAGGCCTGTGTAGGTTGCCTTTGGAGATTTCGGACCGAGGAGTGATGTGGCCTGACTTAGGTTTTGACAGGATCACCCCAGCTGCTGTGCCGGGAATAGACTATGGTGGTGGGTGACAGGCAACCGCCTTCAATGTAGGACTTGCTGTCCAGCTGTGTGAAGCCTAGCCAGCTGACTGCCTCCACCTATTAGGACTTCCAGGGGTGCTTCTGCTGTCTAGATGGCCATGTTCTTCCTGGGATGGCCTCAGGCCATGACTAGGCCAGGGGATGGCCAAGGCCTCGCCTTTGCTGTTCGATGCAGAGCTCCCCACGTACCAGTCTCTGCTTCTGAGCTCCCTGGGACACGTCTTGCTGTCAATCCTACTTCCTGCCCTTTTCCGCTTATAGAAGCCACTCCCCAGTGTACCCTCTTAACCCTTCCTCAGAGTCCACGTCCCAGAGTCAGAGGCAGGAAGTGAGAGATGGAAGCAGTCATCTCAGTGAGAGATGATGGGATGTCAGTTTGGGCTGCTGTAAGACTGAGTAGCTTAAACAACAGACATTTATTTCTCATAGTTGGGAAGCATAGAAGTCGGAGATTCAGGTGCCAGCATGGCAAAGTTCTTGGTGAGGGCCATTTTCTGTTTGCATTCTCACATGGAGGAGAGAGAGAGGGACCATCTCTTTCCTGTGTCTTCTTATAAGGGCACTAATCCCATTCAGGAGGCTCCATCCCATGACCTAGTGACCCCTGAAGGCCCCACCTCCTGATGCCATCACACTGGGTGGTAGAATTCAGCTTATGAACTTTGGGTAGAAATTCAGCATATGAACTTTGGGAAGACGCAAACATTCAGTCCATATGGGGACTTGGATCAGGGTGAATGAATGAATACAAAGGAATCTCCTGTTTATCTTGGGCTGCGGGGTGGCTGTGACATTATACAGTAGGTGTAGATTTGAAGACTATATGAAATCCCAATCTGTCATATGCATGATTGAAGGGAGTTTGCAGTGAATACTCATGTGGTGGGGAAGGAAGATGTAGAGGCATGTACCCTGAGAAGGCCAAGGGGACGTGAGGGCCACCTTGTGGCGACACGATGTGTCCTGCGACTTGGTGGTGAACAGTAGTCACCCAACACATACTGGATGAGATCAGTGAACTGCACTGCTCGGAACAGCTCCAGGTCAAAGGCAGGCTGTGCAGGGCTGGAATGTCCCCTCCTCCATGGTCCTGGCCCATAGCCTGGAGAAATGGGGCCAGGACTAAACGCTCAGTCCTTGCTGAGCATTAATTCTTTGCAGGAATAGCCCGTGATGTTCTCTGGTTGCTCTGACCTCCAAGCCACCCTTGACCAGGCAGCCAGAACCACCCAGGGAGATGCTGGAATGCATATCGGCAACTAGGTGGAGATCACCCCTCCCTGAGACCTTTGCAACCCTCCAGCCTGAGCAGAGGCCGACCTCCAGTGCATCAGGCAGAGACGTTCTTGAGCACAGTCATACCTGGGAATTTGTTAGATACATTGGTGCTGTGCTAAAGTTTTACCTACAGTGCTTCCTTCTACCTCACAACAGTCCTCTGTGTAGGAAGAACTGGGTGCCATGCTGACTCTGTTCTCCTGTGCTCTCCACCCTGCCCTGTGCGCTGGGAGGCTGAATTGCCCTCTGACTTCTGGTTTGGTTAAGTAAGTGGGAGCCACTGGCCGGCAAGCAGGAGATGGGAAAGTGAATTTGGGGGATTTACCTGGTTGCTGGCATTGGCTGCATCCCATAGCTCCTGTTCATTGTTACCTGGTACTAACCTCAGGGTGCTACAGTGTCCATACGGTTGAAAACGGTCTTTCTAGGAAACTCCCTTTGAAGTTACTTGGTTTAAATGTGCCATCTGTTTTCTGCCAGGACCCTGATTGGTACAATTCCCATTGTACTGATGGCAAGACTGAGGTTCTGAAGGCCTGCCCAAGATGTAGTATGCTGAAGCTGTGCTCAGGAAGTGGTCAAGCCATGAATCCATCATGGGGGTGTGGGAACAGTGTCAGCCAGCCCTGGGCTCTTTAAATTTGGCTGGCTTATCTACCCTCTAATGGCCACCCATGAGGGCACAGGTGACCCACTGGCTATTCTGTCTCTGCGACGACTTCACCTCTCCTTGCTCGCTGTGGCACTTGGCTCACTGGCTCCTGAATTGCTGGCTCCCAGCCTCGGCTCTGATAGTCACTAAGTGTTCCTCTGGGTTAATATAGCCTTGCACCCCGTTTTGCTTCCCATTCTGGTCTGGCCTTGGGTATTGGTGTCCCCTAAATTTCAGGTCATGACAGAGCACCGGAGCAGGGCTGTGAGCCACCTCAGGGGTTGGTTCGTGCGCGAGATGAGCCTGTGTTCCTGTCTCTTAGCTCTGCGGGCACAGGTCCTACCTCCCTGTACAGTCCCAGCATCCTGCCACGGCCCTGGTGCAGCGAAAATGCTCAGGGAAAATGGGATGAGCCGAATAAAATGTGGGTGAGGCTGGGACCACATGCTTGAGGGCAGACTACCTGCCCTGTTGAGTGCACATAAGGAGTGAGAGTATGAATAACAGAGATTGTGTGCACACAGGGTGGGGATGTGTGTTGTGATGGCAGTGACCGGGTGACAGAGGAGGGAGTGTGGTTTGTCTATAATGAGAGTGGCAGTGATTGTGTGTGTACTCAGGGCGGGGTCTTATTATGAAGGCTGGAAGCGCCGTTGCAGAGGGAGCCCAGTGCTCTCTTGTGGCCACAACTAGAATCTCAACATACATATCCGTAGCTTCCACCCCAGCCTCCTCCTCTAATAGAAACCCCGCTCCCGGCTGTCAACCTCAGTGCCAGCCTAGCCCAGCTCCAGCTCCAGCTCCAGCTGCAGCCACAGCCACAAGCACCCACCCTAGCTCCACCCCGAGCCATGGAACTCTTTCTCTTTCTGAGGGCTACCTTCCCTACCTTCAGGGTCCTGTGGGTGGGAGTGTGGGAGAACCAGGGACAGAGCCAACCTGTATAAAACACAGCCTTTATTGATTTCAAGGAAGCTGTCTGGAGGATGTCCTATCAATGCATCCACCCCGAGTCCTTGGGAGCAGGGTCTGAAAGGCTGGCACCAGGCTGAGCACAGTTGTGGGGAGGAGGATGGCAGTATCCACTGCCTGAGGCTGAGGGAGTAGGATTTGGAGGAAGGGGGCTTCCACTGAGCCAAGTGATGACCTGGGGGACCCCTGGGTATCTCCAGCACCTCTTGTCAGGCTCACTCTCAGGCCCCCAGACCTGCTGCTGGGAGAAGACCTCCTCTCCACTGCAGGAATCTGGGCGGCTCCTCTGGAGGGAGTGGAGATGCCTTAGATCCACCGAGTCTACCCCAGGGCGAGCGTCTCTGTTTGCGTGGGCTCCAGGGTTCTGTGGCTGCTGCTGTCTCTGCTTGGGAGCACTCCTCACCTCTCTTACACATTATGTCCTCAGAGAAGCCCCTTCCTGGGTTAGCTAGAAGCCCTGCTAGCAGCAGCCTAAGTGGCCCCTTGCATGCGTAGACAGTTAATTCGCTTGTTTCAAAGTCTGCATCCTTTGAGGGCTGCCACTGGTCTGTGGGTTACCTATACCCAGGTAGAGAGCCCAGTGCCAACTGTCAAAACATATCTGCCAAAAATGAAGGTTGCATAGCTTAGTGAATTCAAAGTGGGGCCACTCAGCCCTCGTAGGACCTCTCCACTCTGCCACACCACCCTGCCTGTCCCACGGGCAGCCCCCGTGTTGCCCCGCCCCTGGCCTGTGGTCAGATGGGGGTCATGTTGGGTGCGGAAGCCTGCAGCTTGTTATTGCCTGGGTCTGGATCCAGCTCACCTGCCTCCACCAGCTTGTGGTGGCAGCGGCAGGTGGAAGCCCGACTGGCGAAGGATGAGGGGGTGCGGCCCCCTTGAGGCTTGTCCTTGCGCACGGCTCGCAAGACCCTGTGGCAGATGAGGTAGCAGAGCTCGCAGATGGTGAGCACAATGCAGACAGCGGAGGCGCCCACCATGAAGTAGGTGAAGATTTTCTTCTCGGTGGGCCGGGCGATGTAGCAGTCCACAGTGTTGGGGCAGGGGGCCACGTTGGCACACTGCACCAGGCGCGGCATATCGAAGCCATGCCAGAGAGTGTGCAGCAGGTAGAGGAAGAGGAACTCGATGATGAGCTTGAAGATGAGGCTGAACAGGTAGGTCCACCACAGGCCCCCGTGCTTCTTGCCTGCGTTGTCGTACAGCTTGGTGCACTGGTCCCCATGCTTCTGGCGGTGCCGACGCTCCCGCTCCTCACGGTACGCCACATGCAGGATGACCAGCAGTGAGGGGCACGTGACAAAGATGAGCTGCAGGGCCCAGAGGCGGATGTTGGAGATGGGGAAGAAGTTGTCGTAGCAGACGTTGGTGCAGCCGGGCTGCTTGGTGTTGCAGTCAAAGTCCTTCTGCTCGTCCCCCCACACGCGCTCTGCAGCCACCACGTACACCAGCACCCGGAAGACAAACACCACGGACAGCCAGATGCGCCCGAACGCTGTGGAGTACTTGTTCACGCCGCTCAGTAGGGCCTGGAGTGTCTTCCAGTCCATGGTGCCTGGCTGGGGCTGTGCCTACCTGAGAGAATGAGAGGGAAAACCATCGTGTGAATGAATAGGTGACTTTATTGAGCATTTACTGTACACCATGCAGTGTTCAGAGACCTGACTTGTGCAGTCCTCACAACGAACCTTTGAGATCAGAAATGTTATTCTTCCCAAGCTGCAGATAGGAAACTGAGGCACAGCAAGGTTAGGTAACCTACCCAAAGGCACAGAGCTAGTATGCTGGAAGGAAGCAAATGTGCCTTTGCTGATAATAACAGTCACCATTTATTGAGCATTTACTCTGAGCCAGGCATGAAGCTAAATACATAAGCAGAATCTCATGTTCCTCACTTACAGATGAAACTGATCCCCTCTGAGCCTGTCAATCTCCACCTACCAGGCTCAAGGGATCCTCCTACCTCAGCCTCCTGAGTAGCTGGGACTACAGGTGTGCACCGCCATGCCCAGCTAATTTTTCCAGCCCCCTTTTTTTCTTTATAGTACGTAGTCACTATTTGAAGATTAGTGATTTTTGAAGATATTTGAAGATTAATTTCACATATTGAAATTAAAGAATATGTCCTTTTTATTGGTCTTATTTAGCATCTGGCTTCCCCTCTAGAATGTCATCTTGGTCTTGCTCACTCTGCAGTCGAACGATTTCAAAACAAGTAGTATGTAGTAAGTGCCTCATAAATGCTGGCTACTTATTACTGTGAAATTTAGAGAGGTCAAGTCACTCACTTAAAACAAGAGGTGGACTCAAGGCTGGACTGGGGTGCTAGAGCCTGTGCTCTTCTCCACCTCCTCTTCCCTTCCCCGCTGGACTCCTGCCCCAGACCAGATTCTTGAAAGTGTTACTTTGTGGATGCCTCACTACTGTCCTTGAAGTTGTGATTATGAGTCCCATTCTACAGAGGGGAACTGAGGCTCAGAGAGGGGAAGTAAGCAGTCCAAGGTCTTACAGCTGCTAGGTGGCGAAGAGAGGAAACCAGCTTAGGTGGGGGGTGCATGAGGGCTTCTGATCTGACTCCTGGGAGGATACTAGATCCAGGGAATATCTAGAGACCACTCCCTGCTCCCTGTGCTGGGCCTGGGGGAGCCCAGCCACCCCCAGCCATGCTTGTTTCTGCTGGTGGCCAGGTCTTTGTGGTGGAAAGATGTGCCTTGTTCAGGCCTCAACTCACATCTCCCTCCCAGTCCTGGAGTGACTCAGAGGGTGTGGATGGGTGGGTCTGCCTGAGTGTGACTTGTTTCTGCCCTGTTGTGGGTGTGAGAGCACCCGCCGGCCTGTCCATGTGTGTGTGTGTGGGCCTATGTGTGTGAGTCCCACTGGAGCTGATTTGTACCTCTGAGCATGTGTGATGCCTGTGAGGCCACCACCCTGCCCCAAACCGCCATCATTCTGGCCTGTGGTTATGGCCTCTTTACTGGCCTTTCACCTTCCCTCCTGTGCCCTTAGAGTCCATTAAATCAGTTCACGCCACTCCATTGTTTAAGACTCTACTAGTTTCTCACTTGGCTTAGGGAAACCCCAGATTCAACATTCCCACCCTGCCACACTGGAATAAGGGCCCTGGGGGCTTTTTGTTGATTCCTTCTGCCTGGAATGCTCTTCCTCCAGAACCTCACATGGCTGACCCTTCTCATCACAGAGGCCTCTGCTCAAACCTCATCTCTTTAGAGGACTCCCCAGATTACCCTGGCTCTCAAAGAGCCCCTGCCCCTGTCACTCTGTGCCTGTCTCCTTTCTTTTCTTTTTTATTTTTTGAGACAAGGTCTTGCTCTGTCACCCAGGCTGAAGCGTGGTGGTTCGACTTTGGCTTATTGCAACCTCCGCCTCCCAGGCTCAAGGGATCCTCCTACCTCAGCCTCCCGAGTAGCCGGGACCACAGGTGTGCGCCACCATGCCCGGCTAACTTTCCCAGCCCCCTTTGTTTTCTTTATACCACTTAGTCACTATTAAAGAATTTGTCCTATTTTGGGGTCTTATTTATCATCTGGCTCCCCCTCTAGAATGTCAACTTGGTCTTGCTCACTGCTTTATATTTAATGCCCAGTGCTTGGCACATAGTAGGCTCTCAATGCTGAATGGGTAAAAAATGAACACTAAGTTCTCGGGAGGCAGCTTAGAAGGAGGGGACAGGAGGGGAGGGCAGGATCCTGGTGGGGGGTGCAGCCTAGACAGGGGGCTTGGGCGAAAGACTTCCCTACCCTGGCGAGAGGGAGAGAGCACAGTTCCTTCTCAGCACCTTCGCCCTCCTGCATGCATTTCCTTGGGGAATCACAGTCTGGGCAGGATGGGGCAATTGGGAAGACCTCATTCCTGGAAAGCCTCCTCTTCTCCCCTACTCTGCTCCTTCTAAGTCCCGGTGGTGGGGGAAGGCAGTGGCATAGCCCTGAACAGGGAGTCCCACTTGGATTCAAACCTCAGCTCCGCCATTTAGTAGCTGGGCGATTTCCAAGAATTCCCTAATCTCATTGACCCCATTTACTTATCTCCAAAGGGAAATAATTTCTACTTTCTGGGGCCGTTGTAAGAATCTTGAGACTGTTTCCTCCCAGGCCCCCCACTCACCTGGTGGGAGTTCTCAAGAACCCAAGTGGATGTGGGAGCCCTGTCTCCCAGGACAGAGAGCAGAGACGGACCCTGACGGCTGCGTCCACTTGACACCCTCCCATGGCTGCCCGCCGGGGTGCAGCTCCCTCCTGGGCCTCCGCCTTCCACCCTCGGGTGCTGTCTGCCCAGTCCCTCCTGACACACCCCAGAAAGGAGACTCACTGGCAAAGAATTTCCTTCCAAGTCTAGGCTAGGCACTGGTGGAGCCGGTTCTGATTCCCCCTGCTCCCCGCAAAGCCAGCTCCCAGCGCAACCGTTTTCTCCCAGACCCCCAGATTGTACTCTGCCCAGCCTTGCCTCCAGCCCCACAGTGTCCCCCAAGGATAAAGCTTCCCTTCCTCCCCAGTTTCCCTCCATTCCAGGCAGTTTGGGAGCTTGTGGACTTGGGAAGGGGGTGTCTCGGAACCTTTCCAAAGCCAGGACCCCTTCTGGGCCCAGGACTGAGAGGCGAGAGGGCGGATTGGGAGGGGCGGGGGGATGTCCCCGCAATCCCTCTTCGTGCCCCATCCCAGCCGCGCAGGCAGGCTCAAGCCCCAGCCCTGCCGCTGGGGGTCGCCGCGAGCGCTCAACGCGCTGGGGGTCCCGCCCCGCCGGGTCCAGCACTTACCAGCAACAGCGCGGCCGACGCGGAACCCTGACCCCTGCGACCCCGGGGCCCGCAGCAGAGGCGAGGGCGCAGGAGCCGGGCTCGGCAGTGGTGCAGGCGGCGGCGGGCGCACCCCGGGGCGGCGCGGAGGAGGGAGACGGAGGGAGACGGAGGGAGACGGAGGGAGACGGAGGGAGCCGGCTCCTAGACCCGACACTGCCACGCGCTCCCGGGGCAGCCTCCCGAGGGGCTGGAGGCCTGTCTGAGCCTCGGCTTCCTCAGGCGTGAAATGGGGGCATCGGTGGCCATGGGCAGGGCTGTCCGAAGGCTCCAATGAGATCAGGGGCGGGAGGCATTCTGCAAACTGTTGAGTGCCTCGGCTGCAGGTCCGACTGCAATCAGGACTCGCCCACGCTTGTTTACCGCGGGTACCTTGCCTGCTTCCGGCCCAGCCCGGTCCCCGCCAGGCGCGGGACCTTGACCCCGCGTGGGGCACTCCTCCGGGGAGGCCGGTGCGTTTTGGAGAGCCGGGGTGGGGGGCAAACCTTGTGCCCACAGGAGGAAGGGGCACAGCGAGTCCTGTACCAGGAGAGACGTCCAGGAGTGAGGGCCGGGTGGGGGGCGTCACGGCCTGGAGGGACTCCGAGGGGCAGACTGCGACCCGAGCTGTCTACCTGAACACCAGGGTCCCTAGTTTCTTGTTTTCATTGCCGAATCAACCTGTTCATATTCAACTATATATTCTTTTTATGTTGAACCTATGGAAGAATGCTATCTACACTCTTCTGCACCTTGCTTTTTTCATTTTGCAAAATATGTCATTTCCCCCATTAGTCTATATAGAGCTGTCTTGCTCTCTCGCTTTAAAAACAGCTGAATAGAATACGTACTGTAATATGTTTAATAAGTCCTATTCTGATAAAAACGAAGGCTGTTTCTAGTCTTTTATTTCATTTTATTACAAATACCATCGCAGTAAAATATCCCCTGCCAAAGCAGGTGGGTCTGCGGCTGGGGCGGGGCAGGGCTGTGCGGGGGGTGGGGGGGGGGAGATAAGACCATTGTGCTATTTACTAGTGTGTCATGACCGGAAGCTCATAAGAGCCCGCGGCACCCCAGCCTTTTTTGGAAAACCCGAGGGTTCCCAGTCTCCCTGGGAGTCCCTGGATCTTAGGGTGGGGCCCGAGTCCTCTCTCCACATGTGGTGGCTCCGCATGGCGTTTGCCCGGGACTGTACTGGTTTATGCCTGCAGTGCTGGCATCATTAACAATGCCCTCTTTTACTTTCAAAAATGCCCCAAAGTTAGGAGCATCAACTATGGTCACCCTCCTCTTACTCATTTTGATAGAGAACGAGCACTGAGTTGGGAGCCCCGAGGCATCTTTGCACCCGACAATGTCCCAGATGCTTTATTTCATCCTTGCAGCATCCAGAGGAGGAAGGTCCGATCCTTCCTGCTTTTAGGAATGAGAAAGCTGAGGCACACAGGGGTGAGGTGACTTGCTCAGGATCACACAGCTACTAAGCAACAGAGCCAGCTCTGGAGGCCTTAGCAGTGTTGTTTCCAGATACATCAAAGCCACAGGGCAGAGGCTCCCTTGCACTCACTGGGGTCATGGTCCTTGAACATCTTTGCTGAAACTGATCAGTGCCGGGTGGCCCAGGTGCCCATGTCGTGTTCTGTGCATGGGTGACGGCAGAGTGAGCCTGATGGTGTGGGGCCCCGGACTCTGCCATCTGCTGCTTTGCTCCCTGTCAGAGCAAGACTCGCTCCGCTCTACCTCCCCTCCTTGTCACTGTTTGGCTTCTTTGAACAATGTTCCTATCGCTACCATGTCACTAAAAACTGCCTGTCAAGGTCTCCATGGATCTCCACAATGCTAAATCCAGCAATCACACCTCTGTCCCCATGCCCCTTGACCTTCAGAAGCACCTGGCACAATGGACCACTCTGTCCTTCTAGAAATACTTTCTTCCCTGCGCTTCCTTGACACCACAGGCCTCACATCCTGGTCTCTAAATGGGGCATGTCCCAGGGCCCAGTCTCTTTCTTCTCAGCTGTGCTCACCTGGGGCTCTAGATACTATTCATTCAACGCTGGATGTGACTACTCCCTGAACACCAGACTGCATCCAGAGTTGTCTACCTGAGTACCAGGGTCCCTAGTTTCTTGTTTTCATTCCCAAATCACCTGTTCATGCTCAACTATATATTCTTTTTACATTTGACCTATGGAAGTATGCTATGCTATCTACACTCTTCTGCACTTTGCTTTTTCCTTTTCCTTTTTTTTTTTTTTAGACGGAGTCTTGCCCTGCTGCCTAGGCTGGAGTGCAGTGGTGCAATCTTGGCTCACTGCAACCTCCGCCTGCCGGGTTCAAGCGATTCTCCTGCCTCAGCCTCCCAAGTAGCTGGGACTACAGGCGTGCACCACCACACCCACCTAATTTTTGCAGTTTTAGTAGAGACAGGGTTTCACCATGTTGGCCAGGCTGGTCTCGAACTTGTGACCTCATGATCCGCCTGCCTTGGCCTCCCAAAGTGCTGGGATTACAGGTGTGAGCTATCACGCCCGGCCTGCTTTTTTCATTTAGCAAAATATTAGACATTCCCCATCAGTCACTATAGAGCTGTCTTGCTCTCTCATTTCAAAAACAGCAGAATAGTATATTTACTATAATATATAGTCCTATTCTGATGAAAATTAAGGCTGTTTCTAGTCTTTTATTTTATTCGATTGCAAATACAATGGCAGTGACTATCCTTGGATAATCATTATTTAACACATTTGAAAATTATATTTACAGGATATATTCCTGCAAGTGGAATTTTTGCCTTAAAGTTGTATGTACATTTAAAATTTTGATAGATGTTGTCCAATCATCTTTATAGGTGTTTCAGTTTACACTCCATGAGACAAGGGAGTGCCTGTATTCCCATGTACTTAACAATAGAGAGCATTATCAAACTTTATGATCTTTTTCGGTGATATCTCGTTTTACTTTATTTTGCATTTCTCTTGGTATGAATGAGATTGAGCATCTTTTCATATATTTAAGAGCTGCTTTTGTTTGTTATTCTGTGAACTGTCCTTTGCTCATTTTTCTATTGGATGGTTGAGGTTTATTATTTATTTCTCAGGAGCTCTAAAGAAATAAGCCCTCCTCTGCCTGTGTTACAAATAGGAAGGATTCCCTCCGTCTCTGCTGTTTGACACCTGTAATTTGACTTTATAGATGGGGGTTTTGCCATACGTAGTTAAACATGTTTTATGTAGTCCAGTGTGTTAATCTTATCTTTTATGGCCTTTGGGTTTGTTGTGATTTTGTTGTGAGAATGGCAATCACATTTTTTCCCATGGTTGCTTCTAGTTGAAGTAGTATTTTAATGATCTATTAGGTTGGTGCAAAAGCAATTGCAGCTTTTGCCATTACTTTCAATGTCAAAAACCGCAATTACTTTTGCACCAACCTAATAGATCATGCCACTTCTGTATGAAAACCTTACAGTGACTTAGCATTAACCTTAGACTGATAGCAACTCTCTCAATGTTGACTCCCAAGGCACCAGGCAACCTAGCCCTACCTCTCTCCCTATCTCTCATCTGCTTGGTCACTTTAGTGGTCTTCTTTCTGGTCCTTGAACAAGCTACATTCAGGGCAGCCTTCTGTTTTTTGCTTTGGCTGTTCCCTCTGCTGGGACTGCCTTCTTCTGACTCTTCACCGGGAATCTTCCTCCTCCTTATTCAGGTCTCACCTTCTTATGGAGGTGTTCCTTGGTCCCCGCCTCCAAAGGTTCCTTGCCCCACTTCCTCAGCAGACACCCTTCACAGCCATCTCTGAAATTATCTCCAGGAGAGCAGGGAACTCGCTGGTCGGGTTCCCGCCACATTACCAGGGCCGAGAGTGTACAGACTCTCAGTCACTATTTGTAAACACTGGGTGGGCATAAGGTTATGTACAAAAACTATTTCTGTGTGTGTCAGCCTGGAGAGCCGGGTGTTAAGGGTGGTATGTGGGCCACGTGTGTGTAGGCTTTGATGTGTATGGTTGTGAATGTGTGTGATGGTGGAGATGACTGGGATGGTTTGGGAGGCTGTGTGCATATGTGGCTGTGTGTCAGGTGGTGGTGTGTAGTGGTGTCTATGTGTGTGGTTGGGCTACTCTTCTCTGGTGACCAGGTAATTTTATCAGCTAGGCCTGTCATTCTGACCCTGCCAGATGCTGGCTCTTCACTCTTGACATGAGGTAATGCCTCCAACAACTGGCCTTGGTTTTTTCTGGAGTGAGCTAGCAGAGTTTCCCATTCCAGAGAGAATGGCTCTGAGGACCTTAAGGCCTTGTGGTCCCACACTAAATTTCTGCTCCCTGAGTAGGGGAATCTGTAGGAGGCCATCTAGGCCTTCCCCCTGCCTCAGGACAAAGCTGGGTTGCACCAGGGCTTGGCAGCCGCCCTCAGGGTCTACACCTGCTCTCTGGGGGTGGCAGGGCTTGAGCTTGCATCTCTCCCTACCCTGGCCTTGGCCCAGGTGGTATTGTTCCTAGGC